GGTATAAAAATATTTTTTGAGGTTAATTTTTATGATCAAAAGTCAATAAAAGAAGGAGAAAAGAGATGAGGGGGTATGATGAAATTTTTAAGGGTTTCCTTATGCCGCTTGGAAAAAAAGCAGAATGAGCGTCTACCATGAAATACTATGAGGAATTAGGGTTCTATATGAAATTTTCCCCATATATATTCCAGAATACACTATACTAACGGTGAACTTGGAACTTACTGCTACAAAACTTTTGACCATAAAGTGCCCCAATATATTCAAAAAATAACTTTTAAATATAAATAGTTTATATATTTTAGGAAGGGTATTTAGTCTTTCAAAATCCCTCCAAAACTCAATTTCAAATTTAAAAATATTCTTTGGACTTTCTAAATGATGAGTGGATCTTTAAAGCAATTTAAAATTATAAATATTGCCCTTCCCATATATTTTAAACAAGCAATTGTTAATGTAACTTTTCTATTTGGCAAGACATTTTATTGTATGGTCTATTTAGGACATTTTATCTCTCCAAAACTCAATTTCGAATTAAAAATTATTCTGATTTTCTAAATGATGAATGAACCTTTAAAGAAATCAAAAATTCCAAATATTGCCCTTCTCAAAATTTTCAAACAACCTATTGTTAATGTAATTTTATATTTGTAAGGGCATTTTGTTATATGGCCTATTCTAGAATACACATGCATACATACGAATAGGTTATCACCCAAATGAATAGTAATTCAGATTATGCTCCCCATAATTAAATCTTGTTTGAGTGGTCAAAAATGCACGTTAGTGGGTGAATTTTAATATTTTTTATACAAATTCGATCAAAATAAAAAAATTTATACAAATTTGATCAAGATGAAATCTTGGACGTGTGTGTACTACATATTAGGCCGCAAAAAAAAATATAAAACCAATATTCTACAAAACATAAAATGACAAAACTATCCTTGAAATATGTCAGGGGTAATTTGGTCATTTTAAAAAAATTGTAAATATATTTTTATATTTGTATATGGTGTGTGATGGTGTCAAGTATATAAATCCAAAATTTCAGTTTAATCTGATTTATAGAAACAAGTTTAAATTTCAAAGTATAAGTATATATATACATGGGGGAGTGAGTTTATGTCACCGTGTCATTGAAACATAAAAAACCACACTTCTCGAAAATCATGTTTGTAGCATTTGTATGGCCTCAAATATTGCATATACCCTCTCTTTATCCCAATCAAGCCTAAAAAAAATAAATCAATTTGCATATTAGATATGGTCGAAATGAGCAATAAAGCCATCTAACAAAAAATTAATGAACAACCTATATTAATTGGGCTAAAAAAAAGTTTCCAGGTCGGATTATTTTTTTAAAAAAATTGTTCATTGGAATGAAAGTAGTGTATAGTTAAAAATTGGGATAAAAAACAAATGGCCCTAACACAGTTTGCATGAAATCACTCCCCATATGCCTTTGTGTGTGTATCTAAGGTAGCAAACATACTTCTAGAAACAAGGTTAAATAGTCCAAACCAATGGTTTAAAATCTAATCGGTGCCCCGGATCGGGCACCCCAAAAACCCATCCGGATCGACGAATCAGCGATCCGGATCAGGAATCGACAGAATTGGTCGGATTAAACCCTAAAAAAAATAAAAAACAATTATTAAAATTCATTATAAATGTTCTTTTCCAGGAATCCAATAAGAAATGGAGGTACTACATTATTAACTTTTATTTTTTTCATCAATATGCGAATATTGAGATGTTCTTTCCCTGTATGAACTTATGTTAACAATTAAATTTACATCACACAAAAGAAAAATCAACAAAAATCATAGAATTATCATGAATGAAGTATATAATCATACATGGACTATAATAAAGAATGGATTAAATTGATGAAAAAATGACCACCAAAATCTGGAATTGGAGAAAAACCTTAATCCACTAAAAATCCAAATTATTACAACCTAACTAACATTAATCCAAAATTATTACAACCTAACTAACATTAATCCAAAATTATTACAACCTAACTAACATTAATCCAAAATTATTATGACTTAACTAATTATAATCTTATATACTTAAATTGAAATTGTTGTTACATTTTATAATTATTTTACTCTACAAATAATACCAAATCCAATATATCTTATAATATCATCTCATATAAAATATATTATCGACAGCTGTAAGAAAAATAGTAAGTAACATAATTTATAATGCAAATAAATTAATAAATAAAATATAAGATTTGGTTATCAATATAGAAATTATTAGAATGCGTACCAACTATTAAAATTCTAATTTTTTAGGTTTCAAACTCAAATTTTTTAAGGTTTCTAGAATAAACGCAACTCAAATGCGTACTTGAAAAGCATAATACTTGTTGTATTACTTTCTATTTATTTTTTGACAATAAATACTCGTTGTATTACCCTTTTTTTTTTTTTACAAGAAAAATAAGAAGATGGTGCTACCTAGGTAACTTTATTTTTTTGTCAAGGTAACTTTTATTTTTTTGTCATAACTTTTATTTTTTTATCAAGGTAATTTTTATTTTTTTGTCATAAATATTATTTTTTGTTATAACTATTATTTTTTTATTAAGGTAATTTTTATTTTTTTGTCAAGGAAACTTTTATTTTTTTGACAAAAACTTATTTTTTTGTCAAGATAACTTTTATTTTTTTTGCTATAACTTTTATTTTTGTAAAGGTAACTTTTATTTTTTTTGTCAAGATAACTTTTATTTTTTTGTCATAACTTTTATTTTTTTGTCAATGTAACTTTTTTTTGTCAAAATAACTTCTTCTTTTTTTTGTAAAGGTAACTTTTATTTTTTTTTGACAAAAATTATGTTTTTGTTAAAGTAATTTTTATTTTTTTGTCATAACTTTTATTTTTTTGTCAATATAACTTATATTTTTTTGTCATAATTTTTATTTTTATCAAGATAACTTTTTTTTATTTTTATAACTTGTTTTCTTTTTATAACTTTTTTTATTTTTAACAAAAAAAAATTAAATGTTGTCGGGAAGGGTTCGAACTTATAACCCTTCGCGAGAAAAACAAAGGTGAC